TAGTTAAAAAAGCCCATAGTCAATAAATAGATTACAAACAGTTTATGAACCAGGCCTAAAACTTCAGCTTGTGTAGTAAGCAATGTTTCTTTATTTCTTTTTAAGAAACGTGTTTTGTTTTTTATCGTCTATGTCAGAAGGCTTGTCTGGCTTGAATATGCCAATGACCCATAACTTTAAAATAAACTCACATCTGCTAAGCATACTAGACAAAGTGGCACTTTTTTTTTTTCAGTTTTCAGAATGATACTGAATATTTGAACAAATGGCATCAGCTACTAGGAAACTGGTTTATAACTTTATGATGTTCTCAACATTGTACTAAAATAAGGAATACATTGCTATAAGTTAAATAATTATGCCTACATAACCCATGGAACCAAGAAAAATAGCAGCTTATTCTAGGAAAGGTTGTCAATAAATCAGATCAATGCATTATACATCAATATGAAAATAATTCTAGAGCTAGGTTTTAATGAAATGGTTCATTTTTATCTTCCGTTATTATTTGGTTGGGCCATCACTAAGCAGAAAGGATGTATTTGCTTATCATTGAGTTCCCAAACAGTATCAGGAACACAGTAGGCATATATACTCAAGACATGTATACCAAAAATATAAATGGATGACTGGAAATGGAGCTAGACCCAACAGTGTTGTGAAAATGCCTGTCATGTTAGGAATGCTTCACATTGCAATCTACAGTGTGACACGTGAAGACATCACCAGGTAATTGGACTCACCTTCTTCCTCAATGATTCGTTGTTCAGGTACTCTTCAGCATTAAGATTAGAAAACATGTATATTATTAGAGTCGGAAGGCACCTTAGATAGTATATGAAGCTATACCTGTCATTTGTAAGTTGAACAAACAAAAGAAAAATCAGGCTCCCAAAGACAAAGAAACAGGTTCCGACACAGCCAGTGAGAGACCCAAGAGAGAACCTTGGTCTCTTTGTTCCCAGTCCAGAGTTGCCTTTATTTACACCATGATGGATGTTGGTGCCAAGGACTCTAGAATTCTGAGAGCTAGAGTTCAGTTTTCCTTATTACAGTGTTGCTTAAATAAAAACATTTGTTCTTGAATACCATTGTCTTCATTTCTGAAAATGCTCCAAACTCAATGCCATCGAGTCAGTTCTCACTCTTATAGCAGCAACCTTAGAGGACAGGGTAGAACTGCCCCTGTGGGTTCTGAGACTGTAACTCTTTACAGGAGCAGAAAACATCACCTTTCTTCCACAGAGCAGCTGATGGATTTGAACAGCTGACCTCTTGGTTAGCAGCCCAGCTCGCAACCACTACAGCACCAGGCCTCCATCTAAAGATGCCAGTGTGAATTTTGTCGGACTTAGACTATGCTGTGTAAATTCATGAACTGTGACATAATTGCAAGAATTAGTATTATTTATTGCTTTGCGTTCCTTGCGAGCATCTATTGCTCATTTATGAGACCTAGGGCTGTGTAGATGGTTCAGCACTAGATCTTTAGCCACGTGGTTGTTGGTTCAAACCCAGGCAACAGCATCGAGGAGGACAGGCCTGGTGATCTCCTTCTGAGAGGTCACAGCCCTGAAAGCACGATGGAGCAGGTTGGCCCTGCACACGTGGGCCGCCATGAAGCAGAATCAGTTTGATGACAACTAATAACTGTGTTGCTCACGTTATTTCCCCAGCACCCAATTTTCCAGGAAGGAGCCCTGGGAGCACAGTGGTTTGTGCTAACAAAGTAAGTGGTTTGAGTGCACCTGCAACTCAATGGAGAAAAGTGTGGTCATCGGTTTCCATTAAGATTACAGCCTGGGAAGCTCTATGAAATGACTCTGCTCTGCCCTGGAGGTCACTGGAGGTCAGATTCCACTTGATGGCAATGGGTGAATGTTTTAGGAACCTTGAAAAATTGTGACTACATAGAGGTATAGACTTTATATCTAACTAGAAGTTTCAATCATGAGTCTATGGGATTATTGACAATAATTTGAAATTCTGGGAATGAGAAGACATGTTAAGTCGTGTACATTGCTCCAGAACTGTAATCAAAGCATTACTCTTAGAGAATGGCGAAGGTAAATCAAAGATAGGAACACTGGCAAGTTCATTTATTTCGAATGTCTAAACTTGTAGGTGACTTTTCAAAGACTTTTCTTAAGTCAATGTATTTAATTCTTCTCTGTTGTTGTCATTGAAAGAATATGATTACATAACCAAACGCTATCAGAGAGGCCGGGGATTATTTTAGGCTTTTATTGTATTAGCCACAGACTTTTCGGCTAAGAGGATTCTGGGTATAATTATAGGGTAACATAGCATTATATTTATTCGTGACTTTAAATGAAAAACCATCTCTCACAAATGTAAATACCGTAGTTGGCTAAGACTTGATGTCTAACCAAATCAATAATTATAACTAGCTTTAGTCCATGAGTGTTGAAGGATGTTCACTGACATGAAAAAAAAAGGGGGGGAGGGAACGCTGTCAACATCTAATGTTAGCCAGAAATGTAACTAAAAGGAAGGAAATTGAAATTTGGGACATGGATTCATGGATGTAGATATTAGATTATATAATGCATCTTAGTACCTATTCTAGAATCTTCTGGTATAATTAGATTGTTGTTTTGGTTTTTATAAGGAAACTAGATGTTCATTCAAAATAGCTTATTAATAAAGGCTGTTTGTAAAATATCAGTCTTAACTTCATAAGTAAATTAACAGACTTTTCATATCTAGATGCACAAACCTCGGTAAATAAGTCTTATATTAATTGTACTCTCTATAACCTCTTTAGGTTTAGGATCACTGCATGATCTGTCCAATCTTCATGATTTGTGTTTGATTTTTCCAAATATATATATTACTGTATTTTAGGTGAAAGTTTGCATAGCAGATTAGGCTTCCATTGAACACTTTTTACACAACTTGTTCTATGACAGAAGTTACAATTTCCACAGTGTGTCAAAATTCTTATTATTCCCATTTCTTTTGGTTATGTTTCCATTAAGCTCAGTCCCCTGTTCTTTCTTAGTTTCTCATCACTCGTGCTCACCATTTGGCCTCGTGTCGTTGATTATTTAAGTCAGCACAATATTCATGATATTGTTTATTTGAAAAGCCAATCTATTATTGGATGACAGGTAAACACGGGGAGTGGCTTTAGTTCTAAGTTCAAATGGTATCACTGGAGGTGATAGTCTTGGGCGGGGGGATCCTCTAGTCTCTATCAGTCCAATAAGTCTGGTGTTTTGATAGGAATTTGTTAGCTGGGGCCTACTTTTGTGTCCCTGGTCAGAGCAGTTGACAGTGGTAGTCAAACACCATCTAGTTTTGATCTCAGACTAGGTCCTGTGCGCCAGTTTCTTAATTTGAATATTTTATTTTCTCCGTTCTCTTTTCATCCAGACAAAAGAGATCTGGCCATGCATCTCAGTTGTCAGCTTATGAACTTTTAAGACCTGAGATGGCTACTCACTAAGATGAGGAGCATCATCGTTAGGAACAATGCTACCCCAATTGACTGAGCTGGCCTGCAAGGTGGCGGCCCTAAGCCTTCAGGCCCAGTCAAGTTAACTCACAAGGTGTTTGGTTATATCTAGATAGTATTCATAGGAGCCGTGGTGGAATAGTGGTTCTGAGTTGGGCTGAAAACTGAAAGGACAGCAATTTGAAAACCACATCTGCTCTGAGGGAGAAATACAGAATTTTCAACCCCTGTAAAGAGTTACAGTCTCAGTAACTCACAGGGGCAGTTCTACTCCGTCCTGTAGGGTTACTGTGAGCCGGCACCGACTGGATGGCAGTGAGAGTGAGGTCGTATCCCAAATATTGAGTAGTTTATATTGAATGAGCTCGAACAGAAAACCCCAAAACGGATGGGCTCAAGCCCAGGAACATTGGTGAGATGGCACGGGACTCAGCGGTGCTTCTTTCTGTTGTACAGAGGATTGCATGAGTCAGAAATGACTCGAGGGCACCTAACAACAACAATAAAGCTCATTACTCACTTATTGTGACCGTCTTCCTCTAAGATCACGCCAGATGACAGCTGAAGCAAATGCCGTGTGAATACAAGGCATGAGAAGTCCCAGTGCTGTGGGGGGCTCCATGCAGGCCAGCAGTTCCAACCTCCCGGCCTCAGACACCCACAGGGGAAGTTCTACTCTGTGTTGCCTTGAGTCATGATTGACTCCCTGGCAGTAAGTTTTTGTTTTTATTTTACCAAGTGTAGAATAATATAGGCTAATTATTGTATTTGTTTGCTTTTTTTTTTTTTTTTTAATTCGCTTTCTGTTGTGGAAAACCTTTGTCCAAAGAGTTAAGTCCACACCGGCCCCAGAGTTAATGGGGAATGTTTGCTTTGTGACGAGACTGAGAGCGTCTCTAACTCCCAGGCATGATTCAGAGCCAGGCCGCATTCAGCCGGTGAAACACTGGTACTTCCTGTGAGGAGCTGTGTGTGCTTTGGACGCATTTTCATGCCACACATGTAACTAGTGGTGATAAGGCCATGAAACATTCCGTACCACCTCTCTTCTCACGCTGTCCCTGCTCTGGGCAGACCAGACTAACTCGCCAGTGCCAGATCTCTGAGCTTACCATGCCCTTATCGAATGAAGAAAAGATACTCATATCATGTACAGTACTCCTTTTGTTTACCTACCTAAACGATTCCTTATCATGAAATAAAGTGCAAAACTGAAAAGATGTATCATACTTCTCTGAGACTATTATATGTCTGCTCCCAATCACATTTGGCCCTTTTTCAGAAAAAAAAAAAAAAAATACTCAGCATCCCCTTGGCAGTTAAAAGCATTTGCACGATAGCCCATAATCCAGGATAAAGTGTATGTATTTGCGTTTGCAGCCGTCTGCACCCCTCCCCGTTGTTCCAGTACCCCCCAGGAAGAGGTATCACCCACTTGGGGCAACACTGCTCTAGCACAAGTCCACCTTTAGAAATGCTGCCCGTTCGTTTAGCCACCACACCATCCATTAATACCTACCTTCATCTGTGCTTTAGATTCGTACTGGGAATTTTCAAATGTGTATTTGTCAGATCTTCTTTGACGCATCTTAAAGAGTCTGGCGCCACGGTTACTGAGATGGGATAATTCTTCCAGCATGATGTCTCTGGGGATGCTGACTTTTTTGCCCAGGTCTATGCCATCTATATCTGTAAAACAACATCGATGCGCATGAAAATCCAAGGTAAGCCTTTCTTTATGCTTTTCTAAGTTTCCAGATTTGACTTGATGGCAGTGTGGGAAGGAGTATCGGCTGGTGTGGTGATCACACAGCGATTCTTGAGATCAGGATGCTGTGTTGGAACCCTGGATCCGCAGGTTGCTAACTCCCTGATTATAGAGCCTTCGATTTATTTTCTCAACAATCTCGATTTCCACACCTCTAAGATGTGGCTAATACCTATCATGTTGGTTTGATATCAGGATATATTTAAAAGGCTTAGTATAAACCCCAAATCTACAAACTCACTGCCATCATGTCATTGCCTACAGAGAGCGACCGTGTGGGTTTCTGAGACTGTAACTGTTTATGGGAGTAGAAAGCCCGTCTTCCTCCGGTAATATAAACCATATGCTTTTATGCCTGGGATGTAGAGAGAGTGGACGGATGTTAGCTGCCACTATCAGTAGGAATATTTAATCTTTCCAGACCGAGTGAATTTCAAACAACTTTATGTCAGGCATCTAAATAAGTTGTATTTAGCTCCCAACTATTTTATGTTTTAGCTAATGCCATTTCTATTCCTGGAATATCTACCCCACCACTCCATCCCACCCCAATTCCCTGTCATTATCAAAATAATATTTATTCTGCATCTGGTACCAATCATGGAGTCAGTCTATAGTAGACCTTGGTAACTATTGAAGGACAAATCCTTCCAAACCCAGCTCAGATACAATTTCTGTAAATCTCGTTCTTAAAATCCCTCCTCATAGGTATTCATGTTTGTTGCTGTAATACCATGAAAAACAATGACTTGATTCTGTTGTATGTCCCACCTTTTACTGTAAGCATTAATCATTTAACAAATCAGTGTTATTTTCTACTTCCAGGAATGAATTCCCTTTCAAAAATCAGAAAAAAAAAGGGACTCTTCCACTTGCTTGTTTAATGTAGATGACAGTTAGGAATTCTTATACATCCCAGTCCATCCTTTTGTCACTAGGAATTCTGTTAAATTGCTATTAACTGAGAAAACTGGGGCCATTTTATTGGGGGTTTTTTACAGATCTCATAACAATCCATACATCCATTATATCAAGCCTATTTGTATACATGTTGCCATCAGCATTTTCTAAACATTTACTTTCTATTTGAGCCCATGGTATCAGCTCCTCTTTTTCCCCCCACCTTCATGACCCATTGATAAATTATAATTTCTTATTGTTTTCATAGCTTACACCAACCACTGTCTCCTTTCACCCAAGTTTCTCTTGTTCATCCCCCTGGGTTGGTGGGAATTATTTATCGATCATTGCAATTGGGTCCCTCTGTCTCCCACCCCCACCTCTTTCTCTCTACCCAACATCTATCCCTACTCCCATTTCTGTTCCTGAGGGGTTTATTGACCTGGATTCCATGTCATGAGCTCTTATGTGTACCAGTGTACATGCTCCAGTCTAGTCAGAACTGAGAGGCAGGACTGGGGTCATGATAGTGGGGGTGAGGAAGCCTCAAAGAACCAGAGGAATAGTGTGTGTTCTATTGGTGCTGTACTGTGCCCTGGTTGACTCATCCCTTCCTTGTAACCCTTCAGTGAGGGGATTTCCTATTGTCTATAGATGGGTTTGGGGTCTCTGCTCCAAGCCCCCTCATTCTCAATAATATGTTTTATTGCTTGTTTGTTCTGGGTCTTCTAAGGCAGCATACTTTGATGATGTGACAACCATAATAACTAGACTTTTTGGGTGCTTAGGGGTAAAACAGTAAAATTTTATATTAGACTCTCTCCCTATTTTATTTATAAAACCTCAGTTTGTTTATATGTTTTACATGTAAAGGTGCTCCAGTTATTATAAAAATCATAATATCAAGGCTTTTGCTTCTGAGATGATAGGATTGGCATATATTTTAAAATTTTATTCACAAAGTAAAACTAAAATCCTTAGACATTATGTATAAAAATATATGTACAGAAACTCTGAGAGATACAGAGAAGGTAGACCAGACTTTTTAAAAAATCATAATTTTTGTAGCAAGAATTGCAAATAAAAAAGAGATGCCAACATCAAGAGGAGAGACATGTGAAAATTATGTGACAAAGATTTTTAAAATAGCCATGATAGAAATGCATCAATAAGCAATTACATGCATTCTAGTAATAAAAAAGAATGCTTTAGTGAATACGTAGAAAGTCTCATGAAAGAAAAGATACAAAGAAGAAGCAGAGGGAGTTTTAGAATTGAAAACTTAACAACTAACACGAAAAGCTCTGTGGATGAGCTGCATGGGGGGATGGGAAGACGAGAGGAGAGGGACTTGGGGAGCGTGGAGATGGAACAATAGGGGGAAAACAGACCGTGCGAAAGGCTGAGAAGAGCTTTAGGGACCCTTAGGACCATGACAAAGATGGATATTCATGTCACCAAAACCTCAGGGGAGTAGAGAAAGAAGGTGAGATTTAAAGCATACTCCAATGAAATCAATGGCTGAAAACCTTCTAAATTTGGCAAAAAACATAAATCTACAAACCCAAGAGATGAGTGTTCCCCAATAGGATAAGCCACAATAATGCTACAAAACAAATAATAATTACATTTCTAAAACTAAAGAACTTTTTTTTGAAAGCTGTCCGGTAAACATTACATTTTGCTTATGGGAGAAAAACCGTTAGCATTGTAGTACATCTCTCAGCAGAAACCACAAAGGCCAAAAGAAAATGGCACAATACTTTTCTGGTGCTGGAAGGGAAGAATTGTTAATCCAAAACTCTTATACACAGCAAAACAACCTTTTAGGCATGATAAAGAAATAAAAATATTCTTATATGAAGAAAATTTTATAGAATTTATTGCCAGTAGGCTAACCTACATAGAACCTAGAAAGAAATATCTCTAAACCAAAAGAAAAAAAAATGAAGGAAGGAAACTTGAAGCATCAAGTAGGAAAACAGCAAAACGATGTCCAGATAACAACCGGCACTTCTGCCTTTCTCTCCTTGAGTGTTCTAAATTATGTTTGGTGGTTGAAGCAAGACTGAAGCAAGCTCAGTATTGAAATCTGAATCCATGTAATTTACCATTTAAATGGGCTAAGGAAAAATAAAATCACATGATTATATCTCTAGGAGCCAAGACTTAGTAATTGGTTGTTGTATTTAAAATCAAAAGCACAATCCATAAAGGAGAATTTGATAAATTAGACTATAAAAACTAACACTTTTGTTCTGAGTAAGGTCCTGATAAAAAAAATGAAAAGACCAGCCCAGAGTGAGATAAAATATTTGCAAACTACAAAGTTTGACCAAGAGCTAAAAAGCAAAACGTATTAAAAACAACAACAAACTCTCAAAATTCAACAGCGAAGAAACAAATGTTCCAACTAGAGTATGAGCAAAGGATCAGGAGAAATATTTCACTGAAGAAACTTTAGGGAAGCAAATAAGCTCATGAAAAGATGCTCAGCATCATCAGCTAGTCAAGATCCCACTGTCCTTGAGTGGACCCCGGAGGACAGGGTAGAACTTCCCGTGTGAGTTTCCAAGACGTAGAACCCTTTACTGGAGTAGAAAGCTTCACCTTTCTCCCTCGGAGTGGCTGTTGGTTTTGAACCACTGACCTTGTAGTTGGCAGCCTAACTGGTAACCACTACACCACCAGGGAAATGTAAATTAAAAGTAAAATACTCTTTCACTACATCCTTAGCAACGCGTCTGAAAGAACGGAAAAATGATAACATCAAATGCCAGTGAAATCTGGAGAAACCTGGTCACTCAGACATTGCTGATCGAAATGTAAAACGACACACACAGCTACACTGGGAAACAGTTCTGTAGATTATTTTAAATGAAAATGCAACTACCAGTGGTTATACTCCTGGACATGTATCACAGTGGAATGAAAATGTATATTCACACAAAAACTTGTACATGAATAGCCATAGAAACTTTACTCCTAGAATAAATAAACAAACATTAAAAGCCATAAGCCACCTAGATGTCTATGGCCCAGCACATCCACACTACGGAACACTATGCAATGGAACACTATTCAACGATGGAAGGAACAAACTATTGAGACATACGGCCCCTGAGGGAATGCCTGGAGGGTTATACAGAGTGAAAACAAAACAAAACTCTCAACAGGTTATGTACTGCATAATTCTATGTATATGAAATTTAAATATAGAAAATATATAGAAATTGAGAAGATATTATAGTTGTAAGGGATTAAGGAAAAGGTAGGTCTAGAAGAAGACAACATGAGGGATTCTTGTGGTCATGGAAATGGTCTGGATTTTAACTGTATCAATATCCTGATTGTGATATGCGTTACAGTTTTGCAAGATGTTACCCTTGGGGGGAACTGGGTAAAGGTACATGACATAGCTAGGCTATTTTTCTCCCTCTACTTCTTGTGAAGCTACAATTATCTTTTAAAAAGTTTAATTAAAAAATTACAGCCCTTTCTAATGCAGCACAGCATCTCCTTGTCTGGCTTCCTTGTATGCCAAAACAAACAAACAGACAAACAAAAATACGTCCATTTGGAATTCCCAGGGATGGTGGGCTAGTCAGTGGAAGAGAAGTAGGAGGGAAAGAACAGAGGAGGCGCAGGCAGCTTCCAACCATTTCTATGGGAACTATGGATTTGCAGGGGTGACAGGGTCTCATTGACTGGCTTCTGGAACATGACAGGGAGAACTGACTTGCTTTTCAGAATATTTCTCGACAAGCCCGCTGACAGGAGTCGGCTGTTTCACCCTTGTGAATCCAGAATCGAAACAGCAAGTGTTCTTTAGATCACAAAGGACAGACGCGACCCATGAATGCTTATAATACTTGGGTGTATCTGGGGAAGGAGATCTCCTTTCAAACCATCTTTAAAATCTTCAGTTAGCTATGGGGAAAAAGGGAAGAGAATACTTCCACTGGAAATCAAAATTCACAAATCTTTTCTTTATCAAAACTCTCCCTAGAATTACATGCAT